TTTCTCAAATATACTACATTACCCTTAGTGGACTATGCTTCAAGAAAAAGTGGGGATGGGGCTGTGCTTTCCATGAACATTACATTTTCTATAGTAAAGTTATATATGAAAAAAGAGGGGGGGGGTGATATTATGTGCCTGAAATTCGTCCTAATCAATAAGGTGCACCCCCCCCTCTTACCAGTCATTAAAACACGGTCGTCAACATTCATTATATACCAGATATACAGCTTTGAGATAATGAAAATGTATTTTTACATCAGGTAATGAACTTTTGGAATCAACATGATGAAGAATTAACACAATATAAAGATATTTTTAAATCACATAAGAAAAGGTTGACATAACGTAATTATATATCCACATCACGGAATGGAGTTTTGACATAATGTAATAAAGTTTGATATAATATAAAGATATGTTCACATTATTTTATACACTTTTTACACCATGTAATAAAGCACTGACATAAAGGTAAGATGTGTTCACATCACATCATGATGCTTCCGACTTAAAATAAAGATAAATGCATATCACGTAATAATGTTTTGATATAATAGAAATATACACTCTCAAAAAGGAATGGACTTTTGACTTCATGTAATGATAAGATTAATTATAAAACACAATTTGCTTGACATAATGCAATTTTGACCTCGCATATTAAAGAAATGAAATGATGTAAAGAAGCATTCATTTCACGTAATAAAGTTTTAACACAATGTAAACACATAACCACTTCAAATAATGGATTTTTTACTTCAAGTTATGAAGTGCTGACATAATAAAAGAATGCATTTACTTCATGTAATGCAGCATTGACATGATGTTAAGATATTTTCACATCATCTCATAAAAATAGACATAACGCAAAGATATGTTCACATCACGTAATGGTAAATGACATAATAAATGCATAGTTGTATGCTATAAGGCAGTGATGGCGTTCCATATCATGCAACAAAAGACCTTGGTTTATATGGTCTCTTTCGAATGATGTATCAAAGTCTCGCAATGGGACTTGAAAAGCGACGTAAGGACGTAAGTCTTACTTCACGACTATCCAGTTGCGTAAATAAAACCAATGATATGACCCAGTGACTTTATAATAATCATTCAGCATGCATTCATTGTTACATTTTATTGATATTAAACATCTGTTAATGTCTATTTCTTGACTGTTTCATGGTTTTGCCGATTCCCCCATACAATTAATCTAACGGATATAAATGAGACACGAATATAACTGATACAGTTGATTCTTTTGGTTCTTAAAAGCATCTTTAATGTCTGTCTTTTATGCTAAAAATAACTGTATCTGCGTTTTGTTTTAGACTTGATTATTTGGAAGCTTGACTTCTTCACTTGTCAGATTTTTTTCTTTGAAGAATTGTTAATATTGATTTTCTTCCACAAAATGGAAAAAAATCGTTTATCTTGAGGTTTCTCGAATATCAATAAAAATCAATGAAAAATAGAAAATATTCCTAAAATATATTTTCCTTGAAGCAGAAAATTTTGTTTAAAGTGGTCCTTCAGATATCCGGAAGCCAGATATCCGGATGCTTCAGTATCCGGACGATTTTGCATCGGAGCAGACTTTTTTAAACCTTATTATGTCTTGTTTAACTGGTAATTCAGATATCCGGACAATTCACATATATCCGGAAAAATTGACTAGGAACCAAGGTGTTCGGATATATGAGGCTCCACTATACGTGATTGTGAATTCATACCAAAGCTTTTGTTTCTTCATTGTCACTTTCAATCTTAACTACTTTATTTCACACAGGTAAGAATTAGGAAAGTTAAAGGGTCTTTTAAAAAAATCCATGAATATTCTAATTCTAAATATAATGATATTTTAAAACTTTATTTCAATGAATACCATATTCTACCCTGTTATATAATAGAAAACTCGTGGTACGGTACGTGTGAGCACTGAGCTAAGAAAATTATACCACCCTCCCCGCCTCCCATTTGATTATAATATGGCGAAGTCAAGTTTCACTCTGAGAAACCCAAAATAAGTATCAGATCAAAATGTAAAATAGCAGGTACACAATGTAGTAAAGAATCTGAACATATAATTACACTTATTCAGTGGTAAAGGAGGAATTCCAGAAAAGAAATAGGTATACCCCTCAATATTAGAGAAAGATTGGCTTTGTCAATAAGAAACCCGAAATACGTATCCGATCAAAAAGTAAAATAGAAGGTCACAATGGCACTGTGTGACAGAGATTCTGTGAAAATCAAACTAAATGTCATTGAGTGCTCTAAGAGGACTTGTGGATAAGAGATGGGTATCCTAAAGCATACAGACGAACATCCTCATCACTATATACCCAACTGCTTTTCAAGAGAGGGGTAAAAAAAATTACATTCGTCATGTAGATTACTTAAATACATTGCCATTTTTTTGTGAGATAACTATTTTAAATTTATAAACGAGATAAAATTTTCGCGAGCAGGCAGAGTGTTGTACGTGAGCCTTAATGTATGCAAAAATGTAATTTTCGCGGGCAGATCAGGGTGATTACGCAAAAATACAATTCCTGCAAACAGAAAGTGGTAGGAGATTGGATAAATAGTTAGCAATGTAGAAAATTTTGCAACAATATTTTACATTTGTAATGTTTTTTAGCAGAGACATATATGATTTTTGTCTCGAGAACTAAAGATAGACCAATTAATGAAAATAATAATTACCAAAAGGTTCTGCTATTTCCTCTTTAAATATCTGATCAACATTTCTGTGTTTTGGATCCGCCTTCCTCAACAACACGTCTACATACATTCCAAAGGTTATTACATGGTAGGAGTATGCTGTACCTGTAAGTAAATTAGATGAACTATTTTACAAATCATTGCTGAAAGCGATTAAAACCTGTCCTTAAGATGTACCCTCAAAGGTGCGATTGTTTCACGTGTCTGTTAGAGGGCTGATATTGTTGTATCGGGTTGATGCAAGATTTGACACAAGGAAAAAGGTCTTGTAATATTCTCTATTTTTCAGTCCAGCAAGATCCCTATCAGCCATGAAAGTTGGTATGACTACCGAGAGGTAAGGCACATTACACAAATGCAAAAAATCGGGATGCCAGTACGTCCGTCTGTTTCGCTTTGCAGTAACCTGATCTCTTATCCGCAACTCCTCTCACACCACTGAATGAAATTTGATGAAACTTTCACAGAATCTTTATTACATATTGCCATTGTGCACCTCTTATTTTACTTTTTGATCCGACACATACTTTGGGTTTCCCATAGCAAAACATGGACACTGCCATTAATATTCATATAGGAGGCAGGGGGTATCATTTAGTGAGTTCATTGCTCACAGTGCCTCTAGTTATTACTATATTTAAAATTAAAAGATATAATTACTAGTATGAATGTTTAAAAAAAAAACAACTGAGATTGAATTGCTACCTGGTTTCCAAATCGGCTCCTGTTCCTCTAAAAACTCCTCCACTTTTGTTTGGTTTGTTTTCAGAAGCCGTATATCAATTGTTCCTTTTGTAATGGATAACCCGGCCTTTAAGTAAAATCTACATAATACTACATCTTTTATATATGTAACATTATAAACTTGTAAAATCTAGTGAGCTTTGGGTATGATTTACTTTGTTTTATAACTCCATTGTTAAAGTCGATTTATAATATCTTACAACGTTTCTAAGAATTTGATGAAAGATATGGATTCGGATTATAAATTTACCCTAGATACTGAGCTAGCAATTCAGATAATTTAAGCAGCTATACCTTTGCCACACGTCATTCGTCTTGTATAAAGAGAATAATTTGTGTTTATGTAAAATACCGTTTGGTGCCACAAAATTAAACTGTTCAATTCGGATAATTAAAAGAAGATTGAATATAAACAGGATTAAGCCATATTTCCAAACCTCTGTGAATAATCTCTTAACCGAATGATACAGTTTCACCATGCAAAATAACTGTTCATGTGCCACTGAAGCTCTACTGGTTTGTACTTATAACAAAGGAAGAGAAAAGTATTTAGGCAGTTGGGAATTGAAACTTTACAACAGCAATAAATAGAATAATGATCCTTGATTAAATCTCTTTATGTTCTTAGTGTAGTCTACTTGTATGCAACATTATATTATAATCAGACTAAAACTGTATTTGGAGTAGCATCTTTACGGATTACGGAGTATTTTACGGAAATTTCTATTTTTAGTAACCAAGGCAATAATGTTCATGGAAGTCAAAAACCGATATACAGAATTGTGTATCTAATAATCGTAGTGTAGTCTACTTGTGTGCCAAGTTATATTGAAATCAGACCAAAACAGTAGGAGACATAGCATTTTGAAAGAATTTCACAAAAATTTATATTTTTAGTAACCACGGCAACACCGTTCATCAAAATCAAAAACGATAAAAAGAATTATGTACCTTGGTGTAGTCTACTGGTGTGCCAAGTTATATTAAAATCAGACCAAAACTGTAGGAGGAGTAGCGTTTTGAAAAATTGTTTACAGACAGACAGACAGACGGACGGACGCCGCATTACTATCGCATAAGCTCTTCTGATCTCTGACCAGTAGAGGTAATAAATTCAAAATTATTTTAGATATAAATTAGATGCCCTCATAAGCCAGATATACATGTATTTGATTATGAAAATGAAAAATTCGAGACCTGAATGAATGAACACCTACAGGATACCGCCAATCATATTCTAAAGATGATATGGCTTCTGCGAAAAAATGAAAGGAGAGACAGAAAATATGCATTAAGTAAAAAAAAAAAGACCCCTAAGGAAATGAAAATATACTAAATAAAATAAATTGCGTATTTTTTAGACTCCACTAATCATTTTCCAAAATATAACTCTGCAACTCGTAAAATGTTAGGAGAAATCTTCAATCTCAGGTGATTGTTAGAGAAAACAAGTTGTGTTTGTGAAACACTGATGCCCCCGTATGGCAACATAGCGAAGGTTAAGCTTTCTCAAATGCAGATAAAATATGTTGGTACCAAAGTAAGGCCTTTTCACAAGAAATGCAAAATATAAAACGCTAGCTACACTTGTTCCAGGGTTATGACCAAGGTTAACATTTTATAATATAGGACAAACTCCGGGTCAAGGTCAAAGGGTCAAGGTTGTTGGGTTCTAAAGAAAAGCCTTGTCTCAAAGATTACGTTTGGGAAGTATGAAAGGGCTGGCCCTTACCATTCAAAAGTTATGGCCAAGGTTAAAGTTTGTAAAAAGTAGGTCAAACTCTAAGGTCAAGGTCAAAGGGTCAAGATTCTTGATATCCAATGAAAGGTCTTGTCACAAGGATTACACAAGTGAAATATGAAAGCTCTAGCCCCTACTGTTCAAAAGTGATGGTCAAAGTTAAAGTTTGTAAAAAATAGGTCAAACTCCAAGGTCAAGGTCAAAGGGTCAAGGTTCTTGATATCAAATGAACGATCTTGTCACAAGAATTAAATTTGTGAAGAATGAATGCCCTAGTCCGAACCCTTTAAAAAATATGGTCAATGTTGTATTTTGAAAGTAGGTCAAACTCCATGGTCAAGGTCAAAGGGTCAAGGTTCTTGGTATCCAATGAAAGGTCTTTTCATCAGAATTATATATGTGAAGTATGAAAGCCCTAGTACTTATTCTTCAAAAATTATGGCCAAGGTTAAAGTTTTTTCATAGGTACGGAAATCTCCAAGATCAAGGACAAAGGTTAAGGTTGTTGGTATTTAATGAAAGGTCTTTCCACAACGAATACATATGTAAAAAAAAATATATAAATGTCCTGGTATCTATTGTTCAAAAGATATGACCAAAGTAAAAGTTCAAAATATTTGTGTTAAAGTGGGTCAAACTCCAAGGTCAAGGTCAAAAGGTCAAATTTGGTAGTACCCAAAGAAATGTCTTGTCACAAGGAATACACATGTGAAATATGAATGTCATAGCTCCACTATATCAAAAATTATAGGCAAGGTTAAAGTTTTTGCGGACAAACAGACGTACAGAGAGACAGCTAGACAGACGGACGGACGGACACGACAAAAACTACATACCCCCGAAACTTCGATTACGGGGGCATAAAATATTAAGGATTGATTTCGAATTCCAGAGTCAATATCAACAAATGTTGGTCTATATTACATTTTTGATGATACAATTGGTGAAATTGATATATTAACTTCATAGAATTCCTTGAAAATGAACACGTTAATTTAACCTTTTTTAGCCAAATAAAGTTCTCAGGAATGTAAAATGCGGTATATACCTGGTGACTTAGTAACATATCTACAGTAATATTCTCCTTGCCATTCTTCCCAAACTCCGGCCAGTAATAGGACACCCGCTTCTTGTAGTCCAAGTAGCCTCTGAAGTAAAGAGAGGGTACAGGTGAAACATTTCATGATTACGAAGTTATTTTAAAGAAGAAATAAAAACTGTTCTTCATAGATGATTTTTTTTATTACATTTTTAGAGAAAATTTGTTTAGAAAATAATGCGTCTGTCAGATTAACATTATTTTGTCTTTGAGCACGTTTAAGTAGCAGTCACATTATCCAGCGATGGGGTATAGGATGAGAAACCGATGCGTTTTTGATGAAAATGGCGTGGTTGCCGGCCGGGCACCACTAGTAATCGGACGGTGACTGAGGCCATTTTGCGAATCGGTGGGGTTATCGGTAGAAGATAATTCGTAGTTAAAAATCAGCGATGTCTCCACCGATGCCCCACATCGCTCCTCATCGGCAACCCTTCATTAACACATCTTACACGGATATGGCCGAGCATCGTCCAATATCCGCTGAATCTGAGGTCATCGGGGGGTTGAGTGGTGTCCAACAGATAACGGCCGATCATCTATCGATGTTCGACCAAACATTGGCCCGTAGTCAACCGATGTTCGAACGATGTTCACCAATGTATGAGCGATGTAATTTATACATAGGCCGATTATCCTGGAACATTATTTTATGATTAGCAATGCATCGCTGGGCCTTTGTAAGTCCGGTGTAAAGACGAATAATGACCCCCATCGAATAATGACCGGGGGTCATTTTTTTTGACAGCGAAAAATGACCCCCGGTCATTATTCGACGTAGAAAAATGACCCTTTTGCCCGTAGAAAAAGTGTCACCACCCTAAAAATTTGCAGAACCCACGTGAAGAAAAATGACCCCCGTAGAAAAATGACCCCCTGTATATTAAAGCTAAAATTTTTAGGGGGCAAAAAAAAAATTAGATGAAGAAGCACATTGGCCAAAATGCTCACCTGAGCTTATTGGGAATAAACTGATGATATGTTGATCTCATTACATTATACAATTATAGCTATATTTTAAGGTAAATGCAATGATTCAGAATCTAAAGGAGTAAAAGATTTATCAAGCCTTAAGGGTTAGATAAACACTGTTTTTTGATTGTGGAAATCATCGAACTGACAGAAAAAATCAGCAGTATTATATAAATGGTGCCTGTTTTGGAGGGTAACATTTGAAATTGACACCCCAAGGAAAATCATTGTCAACCGACGCCAGCGGAGGTTGACAATGGTTTTCCGAGGGGTGTCAATTTCAAATGTTACCCTCCAAAACAGGCACCATTTATTTTATTATACTGAATGTCTTATTAAGGACGTCAGCAAAAAAAAAAAAAACCGTCGATCGTCTTTACGTTCATGTATAGAAAGATTTCACACTCACCGGTTCACTAATCTCCTTATTGTTTGTTTGATACTCGAATTAGAGTCATTTATCATTTAAAGCTTCGTTATTTCTGGCTCGCAAGCATGTTTCCTACACTCGCAAGCATGTATCGTCTGTCGTTTGTTGTTTTCAAGTAAAGCTATATCGGACGCAAGCTTTTACTGACTTGAAGTTAATTGCGGTTCTTTCAAACGCGCAACTGACGTTTTTAGAATTCTACGGTGAACCGTACGCGCATAATTTCCACGCATGTGACATTACCGTTGTGTTACCAGTTGTCACGTGTGTTGCTAAGGCTCAGGGTAATCGAACGGATTGTTAACTGCGTCTAAACCAATCAGATTTTAGTATTTAACATGAAAGTATATTAATATATATTATTATATCCTCCGCTTGAAAAGCGGGAGGTATATAGTGATCGGGATGTCCGCCCGTCCGTCTGTTACGCTTTGAGGTATCCATCTCTTATCCGCAAATCCACATGTATATATAAAAAGATGTGTTTGTGAAACAGCTATGCCCCTGTATGGCAACATGGCGAAGATTAAACTTTTCTTAAATGCAATTTAAATATATTGTTACCCAAAGTAGGGTCTTCTCACAAGAAATACAGTTTCAAAATAGGAAAGCCCTAGCACCACTTGCTCAAATATTTTTGCTAAGGATAGGTTTTTGAAAGGTAGGTCAAACTCAAAGGTCAAAGTTGATGATTTCTTAAGTAAATGATTAATGTAACAAGGATTACATATGTGATGTATGAATACCCTAGCCCTTACCGTTCAAAAGTTATGGGCAAGGTAAAAAAAAATCATAAGTACGGAAATATCCAAGGTCAAGGTCAAAAGGTCAAAGTTTTTAGTATCAAATGAAAGGTAATGCCAAAAAACTACATATTTGAAGTATGAGAGTACTAGTATCTACCGTTTAAAAGTTATGGCCAAAGTAAAAATTTGGCATTTTTGTGTAAAATGGGACAAACTCCAAGGTAAAGGTCAAAAGGTCAAATTTGGTGGTACCCAAATAAGGTCTTGTCACAAGGAATACACATATTAAATATGAAAGTCATAGCTCCAATAATGAAAAGTTATGGTCAAGGTTAAGGTTTTTGCGGACAAACAAACCGCCAGATAGACGGACATACAGACGAACACGATAAAACTATATACCCCCGAATCTTCGATTACGGGGACATAAAAAGAAATGGTCTTCAATTAACTTTTCATATTATGATACATTATAAAGAAGACATTACAACAATGAAAATGTTTGTTCTGATTCTCATATTAAATTCTCTGAAAAATATACTCAGAACTGAGTAAAAGGGTGGAGTAAAACAAGAATTAAGGTAGAACCTATGTTTGAAAAGTCTTTGTCACAAGATTTTCAAACTTTTCAAAATGATAAATTAGTACTTGCTTATCAATCAGTTAAAATATCATGATATTGTTCCTTGTTTTTAATCTAGAGCAGGCTGTGAAACTTGGTATGGTATTTACATACTGCGACTTAACATTTTCAAATATTTTTAGGGGTACTTGTCATAAAGGGAATATGAAAAATCACAAAAATACTTCTTCAAACATCGTCGTTTATAAACTTTATTAACTGAATAATATTAAACAATATTTTATCAAGAATAATTTCTTTTTTATTCAATTAACATAAAAGATAAGTCCACCATTAAAAAAATAGTCAAATGAATTATTTTTAGTCAATTATGCACCCTATACTTGTAAATATTTTTTAGAAGTCTTTGTCACAATGTTTTCAATCTTCAATATGATGAAGAACATAGCCAAATGATTACAAAAAGTGATTAAGATATATACATTTCCCCTCTAACTAATGAAAGATAGGCTATTTACCGATACTCATATTCTTGACCTTTTTGCACTTACACAGGATTTAATAATTAAATGACTGTTTGGGGTTACTTTCAGATTAAATATTTATCAGAAATTGTACTTTTACTTTAAAAAGATCATATTTAATAGAAAAATTGTAATCAAACACCAAGAATATGAATAGGTAACAAATAATTGTTAAAAGGAATGCACATCATTTCATTATAGATATCACAAAAATGTACACACGATCAAACGATCTACAACACGTACATCTTTGACTTAGACACATTTCATCAAGATATTACACTATATAGCTGGCAACTAAAGATTTCTTACGATTTATGCATTCCTTCAAAATGGTTACATACCATTCAAATTATTACGAAAGTTGTATGTACATTGTAATTTCATTACACTAGATAGTCTTGGGTTTGTCAACTTAAGGTCTAGATCTATTAAATAAAAGGTGCCTACACATTTTCTCTTATTCCAGAAATATATTGCCATTAAGCATTATAAACCCAAAAATATATGAATTGAATTAAGATTATGTTGGCATGATTGAATTCTGTGAATTTCAAAATGCAGCATTTTCTACCATTTCTATTGAAGCTGTCAAGTACGGGGAAAAGTGGCATTGAATTAATTATGACGTCTTAATGGGTTAGCACAGGTTAAACACATTTACCAGTTATGATGTCATACGAAGTAGGTTCTACGTTAAAAGAAATGTAATGAATACTGTGTGCTAAATCAAAAGTTTATGTCTACATGTATAGTTTTTGCATTAGAATGACTGTGTATTTTACACTAGCCCATAGCTTTACAGAGCATATTTTTAGGTCTTATACTTACCCCACCCCCTTTCTTATTTAGGAGGAAGTCGATATTGAACAAAAGCAAAAAAAAAAAAAAAAAAAAAAAAAAAAACCAAAAAAAAAAAAAAAAAAACACCCTATCTTTATTTTTCTATAAGAAGGAATTACAAATAAGCTTAATATAATCTACTATTCTACTAATTTTTAACTGTTACTTTGCCACAATACTTTCAAGTATACCTCCACCAACATTTAAAGTATGCTTTAATCATGGCGAAGTAAATTATAATATGATATTACTTGTGTGAAGGCTTAACTTCATTTCAATATTTTATCTAGAGCCTCTTTCAGTAGTATTGAAAGGTACAGAGTTTTATTTCTATTTTTGCTTTTCTTTTCTTTCTTTTTTGTTGTTGTTTGATTTAACGTAATGTTCTTTTTTTTTTTGGGTGGGTGGGGGGGGGGTGGTAAAAATTTCCTCCTCTTTCATTGTCAAATAGGATTTGCCAAACTTAAACAAACTAAAAGTTGAAATGACGGAAAATTTAATTTTTCCTATTAAAGAGTATTTAAAACTGATTTTTGCATGGTTTGATTTCTAAAAACAAGTGGAATATCATTCTTTTAGCAAACATTATAAGGAGGAATATTAAAAAGAAATTTTATTTACCTGACAATTAAAGAATCTCTTTTCAAACACAATTTTAGCATTGAAAGACTAAGTGAATCTCTTAATTATTTCATACGACTTTTGTATTTTTCTGGTTACAGAAAATGTAAAAATTAGTTTCGCTGTAAAAAAGATATATATTTTGTATCACTTTAAAGGGGGTCATTATTTTATAGGACTAACATATAAAATAATGACCCCCTAGGACCCTTTTTCTACAAAAAATGATTTTTTTCTACGGGTGGGGGTCATTTTTTGTCGTTGAAAAATGACCCCCCGGTCATTATTCGATGGGGGTCATTATTCGTCTTTACACCGGCCGGCAACCACGCCATTTTTATCATAAAACGCATTGGTTGCCCATCGTATACCCATCGCTGGATAATGCGACTGATTCTTTAAGTACTACTTAGGCCGATGTGGACCGATGTTAGGGCATCGTTAACACCACGGATTACCACCGATTACCACCGGTCTACGGCTACCGCCCGGGAAATGTGACCTAGGCATTACAGTTCGTTATCATCAAATTCCATATAAATAAAACGGTGTATAGTGTATATTGCTATTATATACATGTACCAAACTTGTGTTAAATATGGTTGCTTGTATACATGTTTATTTAGGTTACTAAAAATGTTTGCATCCATTTTTTTTTCCAAAAATCTTGTAATATGTGCATTCATTTCATACCTTGTAAAACACTGAATATCTTCGTAAATACGAATTATTTATCAATGTCATAAGATATCAAAAGATTTTTAAAAATATCGTGAGTTAGGATCGTATCCAATTTAATAAATCGACAAAAACTTCGATCTTGAGAAAATTTATGCAATTCTTGAAAAACAAATATTTACTAATCTCTGTGTCAAATATTTTTCTCTATATTTTGGAGGGAAAAACCTCAACTTATGTATTGGAAAAAAACACAAATGATATGTTAAAGAAAGATTATATCAATTTAACAGATAGGAAGAGGGAGAAATGCCAATTTCATTTTGATTTTACCTTTGTACAAAGAGTGCCACGATGATGGCGGTAACTCCTTTAGTTGTAGAGAACATGATGGACAGGGTGTCATTTTTCCAGGGCCGCCCCGCCTCAATGTCCGAGTATCCTCCCCATAGATCCACCACTAACTCCCCCTTGTAATAGGCAGAAAAACAGGCCGCCTTCTCTTTATTTGTCTCAATGTTTTTCCTGGAAGAGGAAGGTGTATTCTGTTGTAACGGAGGTTTTTTTAAAGTAATATTTAACTTTTCAACGTTTTTTAATGATTGAAACTTACAATCTTGATCAGATGTAGTTTATCTAAAATACTTAAATGTTAAGTGAAAAGTTCAGCTAACAATTAACTAACCCCTGTCTTACTCAATCGTGCAACAAATTGGTTAAGACGAACCTTTTGATATATTATCTTAATTGTTCATTTGATCCTCTTTTGCATTAAGATATTTCAGAACATTAATTTATAACCGTAAACTCCCTTGAAAAGGAAAATAAAGAGCAGTTACTGTTTTTTTCCTTCAATTTGAGGAATGAAGCATGAGTGAATACTTAGTAGTACGCGTTAGGTTCTGTGCTACGGTGGGGTATTTTGAATAAAATGCATGATTTCTTCATTTTTTTTTCTTTTCTGCTACTTGATATTAAACAAACAAACCAAGTACATTGTTATTATGAGTAATAGAGAATTAGGTCGTTTTAATTAACAATGAATTGTATTATCTCTATTGAAATTATTATATTTTTATAATATCAACACTGTATTTATTATCACCATTATTAATAATTGATATTATTTCCTTATTCATAAAACAATTGTCTTTGTTCTTCTATGTACATGTATATATTATTGTAAAATTTTGTAAATGTTGTATGGCTATTGAGATATTATGTATGGGAGAGGACTATCTAAGTTGCTAGAACTTGTGTCCGATCCCTTTGACATATTGTCAATAAAATATGTTCAAAACAATAGAGAATTTTTCAAAAAAGTGAATTTCAGGGCCTCTGTGTAATCGGTTCTGGTGTTGGGACAGGGCTCTAATTAACATGTTGTGAAAATGCATTGATTATAATAAAATTGAAATGCATTGAAATCCTTCGCTGTTGAGGGCCTGAGTATTTAGCAGATAAACTAAGTGCATGGTGAGCATTTTCATGCGCAAAATTGCCTCCTCCAGAACTACATGTATAAAACTTTTGACACCAGACTCAGGGGCTCTAACAGGGGGTAGGTAAGTGCCTCTTGAATATAGTGAAGAAAACACTCTTTATTTTAAATTATTTAAAATCTTTTTCTATGACCCTGGGTATTTAGCAAACTAATTGCATGCATGGTTATGATGAGAAAGTGCCTTTTGAAAAAGTTTAAAATTCATTACCCCTGGATCGGGTGTTTTTATGTTAGGGTGGGGCTTTTTTTAACATATAGAAAAATGTTAAATTTCTTAGAAAATCTTCTCTGCCAAGGGTATTTAACAAATATAGTAATATATAGTTACGATGAGCAAGAGTAATAAATTTTCCAAATGTATGAATATGTTATAATTAGGGACTGTGAAATTTCAGTGTTTACAGTGTTTAACTGTTATGATGAAAAAGTTTTAAGAAATCTTTAATTGCTTCGATCCTAGGTATCTAAAAAGTCAACGGAGTATAAAAAAGTTGTAATATGAAACGGTATTTTATACCCGAGTTTTGAAACTCTGAACCACTTGATCAATATATTAATTCTAATGAAAGTAGTTATTTTTCTTTGATATTCAATAAAATTAATATGATTGTAAATCACTGAAAACGAGAGGTACTGTGAGCAACGAGCTCACTAAATGATACCCCCCGCGCCTCCTAGATGATTATAATGACAAAGTCCCTGAACAAATGGCAGTGTCAATGTTTTTCTCTGGAAAACGAAAAATATGTGTCTGTTCACAAATTAAAATAGGAGGTGCACAATGGCAATATATACTAGTACTCAAGTAAAAAGATTCTGTGAAGGTCTCATTAAATTTCATTCAGTGGTAAAAGAGGAGTTGCGAAAAAGAAATAGGTACCCAAAAGCGTAACAGACGGATGGACGGACAAACAGGAATTTATAACATATCCCATTGTGCACCTCAAATTTTACTTTTAGATCTGACACTTATTTCGGGTCTCCAAAGGCAAAACAGGGACTTATTCATTATAATCCTATGGGAGGAGGGGGTATCATTTAGTGAGCTCGTTGCTCACAGTACCTCTAGTTTTTTTACGGTACACCACATATAGACTTTTAAATTGTAGATAAATACAATGGAGGAAAATACCTGTTATTATTTATATTTTTTAAAATTTTATTTGTATTGTTGAATATGTATTTATATCCCCCGCTTGAAAAGCGGGAGGGTATATAGTAATCGTTAATTCCGTCCGTCTGTACGTCTGTCCGTCCGTCCGTCCGTCCGTCTGTTACGCTTTGGGGTACCCATCTGTTATCCGCAACTCCTCTCATAAGGAAATTTAATGAAACTTTCACAGAATCTTCATTACATATTGCCATTGTGCACCTTCTATTTTACTTTTTGAACTGACCTATATTTTGGATTTTCCAGAGCAAAACATGGACACTGCCATTATATTCATGTGGGAGGCGGGGGTATCACTTAGTGAGCTCATTGCTCACAGTGCCTCTAGTTTGGAATACCACCCGTCGTCAAGCAATGTTGACTGTTGCTGGAGGGCGTGGCTTCATTGTTCAGCGGGTAGTAGTGTTTTTTAGCAAATGTTTCTCGACCAATCAGATTTAACTAATTTTCATGAGAGTATAATATTATACACTTATCCACTGGTTGTGAGTGGGAATAGTCCCTGTCAAGAGTTTGATAAAAGAGCTATCCCACTCACAACCAGTGGATAAGCGTTTTATTATACTGATGTGTAATATAATTTCTGAGGTTTGAAATTTTTGGAGTAAGATAATACTGCAAGAATAATCTGAAATCCTGATGACGTCACAATGCTACTGAAGTCATTATGACATCATCAGTCTATAGATCTATCGCTGGAAATCAAAATTGGAGGCAAAAATTGCATGAAAATTTTCCAAGGGTGGATAGCAAAAACTATACCCCGGGGTATAGCTTTGCTATACATGAACTATAAAAGATAGTTATTTTACCTTCTTAACTTTATATAGGAAACATTTTAACAGAAGTATAATAAAACCCTTTGTTTAACACGTTATCATCAATTTTGTTACGCAAACCAGGCTATTGTGACGTCTACTACTCTCGTGAGTTTTCGTTCAACGAACGACAACTATATTGCGGGAAAATACACTAGGTGTTCCGAAGAGGTGGAATATGATGAAAAGCGTGCCGATGGCCGTGAAATATGAAGTTTTACGGCCCGATCACGTGATAACCTAGAACCAATCAGATTACGCGTTGTATAGAATATTTATAATGAGGTATAATAATATCAAATATTCACTTCCTGGTTATTGATCTGCATGATATGTATAATGTATCTATTATAGCTTTAAAATAAAACATTCAAGCAAAATTAAAAAAACATTGGAAAAAATAAAACTTACTTGAATACATCGTAAACTCTCTGAAAAGCCGGGTGAACATATCCCCCTAAAGAGGGCGGTAGATCACTCTCAAACCATCGAGAGCTCTGTAACAGTATAAGCATCACGACGCCACAGGCAAAGTACTTTAGAGTTTTTAATCTGGATGTTTCTTTTTGTTTTTCATTCATTATTTTCGAAACTCCATCAAGTCATTGAAGAATGCACGCCAGCGACTGCAATCTGTCGTAACGAGAAAATATTTTGTTACCAACTGGTTTGATAAAAATAGGGTTTTACTTCAAGATAGCAGATAGCTACATCGCACATACGGATATTGTATATATAATTCATTGTTCTCTTTTGTTGTTTTTTCTGATGTATTGCTTGACCCATGTGGGTGTAATATGCAATAAAGATTATTACTATTAAAAAGTGCATATTAATTGTGCATGAAAAAGTACAGTGTATTTTGATTTTTTAATAATTTATTAAAAATTTTATGCTAAAACAAAGTTTAACATAAAACTATATTTTTACTGCTTCCATAACAAAACTGCAGATACATCTCATGCATGTTAAAAGCGCATAGACAAAATTGTCTCGTCAACCAAAATAGTAGTATAAATGAGGAAAATTTTCGCTGGTCTCCATATCTGACCCAGAAAGATTATATGATAAACAACAGTTTGAGGAAATGCTATGTGGGTTCCCTTTCCGAAATCTGTTAAATGCAGAATTTGAGCAATCTGTCACTTTTCGAAATCATGCAGACTAATATGATCTTTTCTATAACCCTAGTTCAATGCAGATTGAAAGTTATTTCGAGCATTAAGTTTTGCACGTGTGAGAAAAATTGAGATACATATAGGCTTTCCTGAAAGCTACCGCAATCAGTGGTTGCTATGTTAAAAATGTAACTTCCGTTTTAAAAAGTGTGTTTGCATTTTTAAAAGCCTCGGCAAAATTCTCCAGTCTTTGTAATTTTCTATCTTTACAGATAGTATCAATAAATATGTTAATTATGTAAGCCTGACTATCAGTGAATTACATGTACGTGGCCTGTCTAAATCTGTCAACCTTTCTATTTACCGACTTTTTAAACATACGTATTTTGTCTCTTTAAAAGTCTAAAATTGTTTTAGAGGGTTCGTCATACAACGATATTGGACAGATCCTTTTCCGTTTTTTAGTGTTTGTCCACATCATGTGCAAAAAAAATAAAAGAAAAAAAAGAACAGACCTCAAATGTGGCTGGGTAATATACTTATATTTAAAGTGAAAGAAAAATGCAATCAAGAGGATCGAATATTCACATCGAAATCGTCGAAAATTTACAAGCTTCCGGGGCTTCGCTCACTCTTCCCTATTGGGGGTCTTAATGCGGCCCCAAACCTGCCCACTCGGGCGTCCATATCAAAAGTGCCCTGGCTACGCCCCTGAAGCGAGTAGCTATCCTACATGTGCCAAGCTATTTTCCCCAAAGTTCACAGACAAAAAGTCCGTGTGAAATATACACTTTTTGTTAATGGCGTTACAGCTCTCTGGTCGTCCATGCCACCTGATCTGAAACTTCATAAATACAGATTGAAAGTTTAAAACCTGTAAATACATCTACATGGTTTTTGTTTTGTTTTTCAATTAAAAAGATACATGACACTTCCTGAGGTTTCCGGGCCCATTGACTTAATTACACGAATAAATCTCAGTAGCTAAAAACACGGTATACTTCTAATTCGATGTGTTTAAGTGGAAGTTGACATTAAAAGTCTGCGAAATTTAAATTTACCTCTCCTGAGAGGTGACAGACCTTGACTCAAGTATAACTACTCACTTGCAATTGCATAACTTTCTTTGAAGAGCTACCGCGTTTGTCTAGTTTAAAAAGAGTATCCTGGAAATGATAATATTTTCCTCAGTTACGACTATTTTATCAAGAATACTGCAATGTAGCTTTTATATTTACGTGAACACAGCATTAAAGTTGTATTTCTTATACTTAAAATTTTTTTATCTACTTACAATTTATTGTAAATTTCGCCTATGCATGCATGACAATTTTCTGGGCTATCAGAGTATTATACATCTTCGGTAGCAATTTTATATGATAGGAATTTTTAAATTAAAATATTTACATTTTTACTTTTGCATACAAATGTTAATATCAAGAAACAGTTACACATTTGATGGGAATGCCATGGGCATTATGGACTGTTGGAAACATGGAATAATTTATGCATAACGGGCTTCCACCGTTGTGCAAATTATACCACGTTTGCATACCAAGCAAATCAGTTAAGGAATATTAACAACATTAAATATGATGTTGAAATAAATAAATAAAGTACGAAATGACCCAGAAATAAAATAACTTACAAAATTAAGCGAAAACTGCATAAATATAGTCTCCCCTGCTCAGAAGTTTACTGTACTTGTTTTGTGATCCCGTGCTACATGTATCGTTATACATCCGTTTATTTCTGGTTAAAATCGTTTTATTAAATCGCAGCTTCTTTCTTCCGCCTCTCACACACACACATACCCCCCCTCTCTCTCTTATTTCATTGACATTTAATCTTCCTTTTCTATATATTTTTTATTTTCTATTGTTTCTAAAAATTTTCTAGAGAATTGAATTCTATGAATTGTCTATTCAATTGTTTTATATTTCGATATTTTACTTGAAAAAAGACGCCAATGGTAGTCTTACAACCAAGCTCAATGATAAAAGTGATGACTTCAACGTTTCAATCGTCAACTTCCCCTACTTATGTATCAATATACCTTCATCATCTGCATACGCAGTTTATATCTCTCAGTTGATTTGATATGCAAAACATGATCTATACACATAGTTTATAAACCGAGGTAAATTATTGATAGCTGCAGATTTGTAGCTCTCCGAAAAGATATATTGATAGACCGGTCTATCAATATATTTTTTCGGAGAGCTACAGATCTGCAGCTAAATTATTGACTAACAAGTTGATGAAACAAGAATATCTCGTTTAAAGACGTCATTTCGTAAGTTTTATGGTCGATAAAATGACCTTGCCAGCAAGTACAATTTATCATTGAGTCATATGCTGACTGATGTTTTTCATACCTATTGTTAGTCCATTATTTACACACTGAATTGACGACGAATTTTTTTCAATTATTTCCCGATCATGACAAGGAGCACACTGCTGGTGTGACCGGTCGACAGGGGATGCTAACTGGGGATGCACGCTCATGGCACCTGATCCCACCTCCGATGTTTTGAAGGTCCGTGTTTGCTCTGCTCCTATTTTGTATTGATTTCATTAAGCATTTTCGGAAGTACTTGAAGTGGAAATGATGTGGTCAAGTTCACAAATCAATCGCAGCTTTAAGTTAAGTACTTGGACACGAATTTGAAGTAAACATTTTTTAAAATTGTCTGTATGATAAGACATATATGTTGCAATAGCATTTCAAGCGGAAATATTATGAGTGTTTATAAACTTCCATTATCGATACTTGAAGCTGACTAAAACAACGAATTTCGGAACGTGTTTTATTGACAATATTCTGACGCTTTGATACCGAAGATTTTGAAAATGTTTTTTCTCAATCAGTGCATTTAATTTTAATTCAATTTTTTGATGTAATCTAATTCATTAATGTTTCTTCTCCACAAAAGGAGTCCTTATTGATTTTTCACGAGATGTATTTCAGAGAAAATGAGCTTTATGTACTTTTTATAAATAAAAGTTTCTGTAAAAAATATGTTGATAGATAAAAGTAAATTTTTATGGTTATTCTGTGAGCTTAAAAATATATATATACGGAGGGATAAGACAAAGTTTGTTGTGCTATGTATGAAAACGCTTTGGGAAAAAATTCTTATATTAAACTTATGAAATAATTATTTTAAACAAGAGGCCCATGGGCCACATCGCTCACCTGAGTAACTTGGGTGATGCAGATCTTCACCAGATTCCCCCTCTTGCTATACCTATCATGTCCAACAACCCCCTTCCCTTTTTTATTTTAAAACTTTAGAATCTACACTTCTCAAGGATGCTTCCACATAAGTTTCAGCTTTCATGGCCCAGTGATTCTTGAGAAGAAGATTTTTAAAGATTTGTTCCATATTTTTCTATGTAAAACTTGGATTCCCTATTGTGGCCCCGCCCTACCCCCGGGGGTCATGATTTTAATAATTTAATATCTACACTACCCAAGGATAATTCCATATAAGTTTCACCTTTCCTGGCCCAGTGGTTTTTGAGAAGAAGATTTTTAAAAAATTTTTCTATATATTTCTATGTAAAACTTGGATCCCTTATTGTGGCCCCGCCCTACCCCCGGAGGTCATGATCTTAACAATTTTAAATCTACACTACCCAAGGATGCTTCCACATAATTTTCATAAGTTTCAGCTTTTCTGGACCAGTGATTCTTGAAATGAAGATTTTTAAAGATTTGTTCTATATATTTCTATGTAAAACTTGGATTCCCTATTGTGGCCCCGTCCTAGCCCCCGGGGTCATGATTTTAACAATTTAATATCTACACTACCCAAGGATGCTCCCAAATAAGTTTCATCTTTCCTGGGCCAGTGCTTCTTGAGAAGAAGATTTTTAAAGATTTGTTCTATATATTTCTATGTAAAACTTGGATTCCCTATTGTGGCCCCGCCCTAGCCACGGGGGTCATGGATTTAACAATTTAATATCTACACTACCCAAGGATGCTTCCAAATAAGTTTCAGCTTTCCTGGCCCAGTGGTTCTTGAGAAGAAGATTTTTAAAGATTTGTTCTATATATTTTTATGTTAAAGTTGGATTCCCTATTGTGGCCCCGCCCTACCCCCGGGGGTCATGATTTTAACAATTTAATATCTACACTACCCAAGGATGCTCCCACATAAGTTTCAGCTTTCTTGACCCAGTGGTTCTTGAGAAGAAGATTTTAAAAGATTTGTTCTATATATTTCTATGTAAAACTTGGATTCCCTATTGTGGCCCCGCCCTACCCCCGGGGGTCATGATTTTAACAATTTAATATCTACACTACCCAAGGATGCTTCCACAAAAGTTTCAGCTTTCCTGGTCCAGTGGTGTTCTTGAGAAGAAGATTTTTAAAGATTTGTTCTATATATTTTTATGTTAAAGTTGGATTCCCTATTGTGGCCCCGCCCTACCCCCGGGGGTCATGATTTTAACAATTTAATATCTACACTACCCAAGGATGCTCCCACATAAGTTTCAGCTTTCTTGACCCAGTGGTTCTTGAGAAGAAGATTTTTAAAGATTTGTTCTATATATTTCTATGTAAAACTTGGATTCCCTATTGTGGCCCCGCCCTACCCCCGGGGGTCATGATTTTAACAATTTAATATCTACACTACCAAAGGATGCTCCCACATAAGTTTCAGCTTTCCTGGCCCAGTGGTTCTTGAGAAGAAGATTTTTTAGTGACCCCACCCCATTTTTGTCTTTTCTTGATTATCTCCCCTTGTAAGGGGACTTGGCCCTTCATTTTAACAATTTAAATTCCCCTTTACCCAAGAATGCTTTGTACAAGTTTGGTCAAAATTGGCCCAGTGGTTCTTGAGAATAAGTCGAAAATGTGAAAAGTTTACAGACGGACGGACAGACGGACGGACGACGGACAAAATGTGATCAGAAAAGCTCACTTGAGCCTTCGGCTCAGGTGAGCTAAAAATCAGTATAAAATACATTTTAATCCCTGGACAGTTTTTAAATTTATTTCTTTACGTTTTTACTTCGGTATTCTCCGTGAAACTTCGTATCTTAAGAAACTGGTTTTTCATGCACGAGCGATATAGCGCTCACTATAAATACTTTTACCAAGGAACGTTCGATTAATGCGAAGTTCGTTACAAAGAATCGCAGGTTGTTTTGTGTCTTTGGCATGTTTAGACTAGAGTTTTATCTTCAAGTTCAACTTCTAATAGAGATGTTCCTCAAAAACAACGTACAGAGACAAGCTTCAATTCTGGACAGGATTTTGATGTCATTGACGCTGTCAATTTATTAAACAGAAGTTTCAGCTCAACGAGGAGAGATTGCGATGTTTAGAATGAAGTTGAGTATATTAGTCACTTAGTAAATTAGTAGACTATAAATCTGACTTTGACAGTGTTTGATGAAAATTCAATTGTTTCAGTTTAAGATCGTTTAAAAAAAAATCTGTTGAATTTGGAAGAATGCTATAAAACCAAACAATAATATTTTAAATGTTATCAAATTTGGTTAGAGTACAGAATTTATATCATATTCTAAAGTTATATCTTTGTCTAACAAAAAAAAATCAATATTGCAGAGTGCCCCCTCTCCCGTCATTGAAACGTACATTTTAGAATTGTCGAGAAGAGTTAGCCATTGTAACACTATACAGATGTATTTATGTGTTCATTTGCATGCTTTGATTGTGAAATATGGACAGATTAGTACACAAAGGTTGACTGCTAACCAGAGTACAATGTGCTTGCATACTGAAATTATATGATTGGATGACTGCTATCCAATAAGGAGAAATATATTTTTTTAAATAAAAAAGTATGTAAAACTAACATTTTTTTCTCATTTCGGGTTCTGATAACATTAGTGTATTTGCAGTTCACAAATTAATCAGTAATGCTTTAACACTGGGATTGGATGCTTCGTAATTGAGTCACTTTAACACTATATTTATATGTTCATTTGCATGCTTTGATCGTGAAATATGGACAGATTAGTACACAAAGGTTGACTGCTAACCAGTGTACAATGTGCATGCATACTGAAATGAAATGATTGGATGACTGCTATCCAATAAGGAGGACTGCTCTCCTAGATTTGAATGACTGCAATGCTAACATAAGATTATAATCTAATATACTGGTTCTGAAAATCATATATTTTGATGACTGATTTTTAATCACGAAGGACTGCTCTCCTATTTATGATGTTGATGATAAAGTTGCTTGTAAATACATGTATGTGTGATATTATATCGTGGCTATTATTGATTACTGTACAAATTTGGTTTGAATTTTAATGTGCTTTCATATTAATATATATTTCAGACTTTGAAGAATTATCAAGGCCAATGGATAAATATTGACAAATTTTAAAGTCGATCTTCGTTTTAGCTATATAGTAGAGTCTTTGCCGCATATCGTGAGAAATGCAAAATCTCAGTCAACGAACAAGATGTACGACATATATTTCTCTAAATTCAGAGACTGGTGTTCGAAGCATTCATTTACGCAATTTCCTGCATCAGTTTCTACTGTCGCTCTTTTTATGGAAGTTTTGGTGCAACAGAGGGTATCAACGTCGATTATGGAAGCGTATTTCTACAGACAGTATAAGTCGGACTCATGAATTTTCTTCAAATATGAATCCATGCGAGGATAAGTTCCTGAAACTAGTGTTTGAAGGTGGAAGGCGCCAAAAAAAAAAAAAAAAAAAAAAAAAAAAAAGAAGAAGAAAAAAATTAATGTGCTGAAATTAAGATCCTTTGTGATGTGTTTATTGTGATTTTCTGGTTTCTTTAAATTCAGTGAATTATGAAAATTATTCGATTATGTGATACCAAATGGGAAAGTGCTCACATCGAAATTAATATTCCCAGAAGCAAAACGGATATCTACAGGAGAGGAAATTCGGTGATAAACGCAAAAACTGGAAACGATTCGTGCCCTGTCTTTTGGTTAAACAAATACATCGACATGTCAGAGATGGATAAGTCTTCCAAAGATTACATGTTTACAGACGTAAATTTTGTAAAATCCCTCAATAAATACAAAGTTTCAAATAAACTCAAACTTTTGCCATATACAAGAGCTAGGAAAATATTGATGTCTTCTTTATATTAAATTGGCCTTGACAGTTCTAAATATGCTTTACAGTTTACTTAGCGGCGGAGTTACAGCCGCTGCTAATAATATTGTGTCTGTTCGATTGCTTAAAATACATGGTCGGTGGGTCACGGATAAAGCCAAAGACGGTTATATAAAAGCCAATCTTGAACATAAAATTCTAGTTTCAATGAATCTTGGTTTATAAAATTATTTTATTGCACCTACTGTCCTTTGTTTAATGCGATTTGTAACGAACGCAACAATCCTACAGTATATTCTTTTTCTTTGTTTTTCAATAAATTAGTCAAGAAAATATTTATTTGCGGAGGAGTGAAACGAGGGAGAAAATAAATTTATTTCTTTACGTTTTTACTTCGGTATTCTCCGTGAAACTTCGTATCTTAAGAAACTGGTTTTTTCATGCACGAGCGATTTAGCGCTCACTATAAATACTTTTACCAGGGAATGTTCGATTAATGCGACGTTCGTTACAAAGAATCGCAGGTTGTTTTGTGTCTTTGGCTTTCCCTGCCCACCCAGCCCTTGCATTGTTTATCATGCAAAATTTTAGTTTGATTTGTATGTTTTGAATAAAAATGCGATTTGTAACGAACGCAACAATCCTACAGTATATTCTTTTTCTTTGTTTTTCAATAAAGAATGGAGGCGTACAAGGCGAGGACAATTCCCCGGTCTGAGAAAAAACATTTCTCAATTCTAAAAGTTATATTTTTCAAAATTATATTGTTTATATCATCTTTTACACATAACTCTGTATTTCATTGTTTTAATATTTTGTTAATTATTTATCTTTTTACTAATGTTTTTAAGATATGTGAAAACAAAAAAAAGAAACTTCCGTATGATTTGAACCCTCCATAGTGCATGGTTTGGTCAAAGACCGATCGCTTTAACCACTACGCTACGAAGTATATGCATTATCAACGTCTGTCAGTGTGATTTAAATGAACGGGTTTGTTGAAGCGTACATTTTTTCAGAAATTTTTGATTTTCATATAGAATGGGTTCAGATTCCATTTTTTGGACAAATGAAATAGATTTCACATTAAAGTTTCCATCATTTAAGCGTTAAAGAAAAATGGAGACTTGACCCATTCACGTTCAAAATTCATTTTTTATAGCTCTAGTAAACCCGTTTTCCACTAAATATGCATAAGCTGGGGGCGTGTGGAGGACCCTTAATTTGATATATTTAAATTATACTCCATGAAGACTTTTGCGAAAGGAAAACCTACTCACCAGTATTGTCAGTCCGTGATCAGTGGGGTGCTGAGTAAACACTTTGAACACACCCAGTAAAATGTAAACAATACCAACCGGTATGAAGGCCAATTCACTGATAGAAATACATAGTGATTTTAACTAGTGTGCCTCGTAAAGCGTTTGTCGTGATTAGTAATCTTTCTGTTTACCGGCTAAGATAGTTAGAAGTGGAGCGTGGGTTGTATACGTCGTTAATTTGACATGTTGTAAATTTTAAATTTACAGGAGGGTAGTAAATACAACATTTACATGACAAATTTTACTGCAACCCGGTAAATTCAAAATTTACAACATGACGAAATCCTAAATGTGTCACAGTCAGCAAAATTAAAAAAGGAAAAAAATATGAAGGAAAGAACGGACGGAAGTAAAAGAAGGACAAAGGAAAGATGTATATCATTAACATGCACTTATAATCGTTAGCAGAGAAGAATATTTTCAATGAAATAATGAATAATCACTATATACTTATTAATCACAGAGACACACTTGCTCATCATTAAGATGTGCTTTGCCTAGTGATACTTTTAATGCCCAATGGCGGGAGAATGTTTCAAAGTAAAAATGCATTTTCAAAATAAAATCAATAGAGTCCCACCTTTATACTCAAACCCCATGACTCAGAGGCTATATAATTTCCATACTTTTGAAAGAGGCACCCTTGCTCATCACTGCCATTTGCTTAGTATATCTGCCAAATACCCATGTGTAGTAGAGGTACTTTTAAAGTTGTAGTGATTTTAAATGAAATAAAATATATAATAAATATAAATTAAAGAAACTAAATAAATTATTAAATAAGTTATAAATGATAGTTTTCCGTTAAAGTTTTATTCTTTTCCTTCTTTACTAACTTGGGTATTTAGTTATAGAGTTATACGCCCCTTTGGATCCACACCTGTACATACACTTTTACATGACCACACACATATCTATTGGCCAAGTTTTTGAAATACTTAGTTTTCATTGGTGGAATGTTTAGTCTTTGTGGGACAGTGAGTTTTATTCAGTTTAAGATCTAGAATTCTGATTTCTTATGGAGAAGACGCAGTTTACTTTGCTGTTGAAATAAGTTATTTCCAAAGACTTGAGACCTTGGACAATTCCTGAAATGTAAGTTTTTACTTGTTTTATGCTACAAGATGTTTTCTATAATATTATATTAAAAAATGCGGAAAACAAGATATTTTACAATGAAGCGCATTGAAGTGGTAAAATTTTCTGTTTGGATGGAACGTTTTGAGCTATCTTTAGACACGCCCATTTCTTTAGAAAGGAAAAATCGGTCAAACGATTCAATCGAATACCTGTAGAACAGGTATGTCATAAATATAATAGCCAATGAAATTGACGGTCTACATAAACACCAAGTAAGCACGTGTTCGACTGATACATGTGCTATGCTAACTCCAATAAACATGATAAAATTATAATTATGTACAAATTCGTCGCATTGCGTGTTTTACTTAAGCGGGAACTCTATCTATAGCTTTTTCTTATTTAAAAATCTTCATTTCAGTGTAACACATGTTGCTTGTCGCGGAAAGTGTAGTGTCCCAAAACATTACGATGAATATTCCTTTCTCATTTCTAAAGAAATGGGCGTGTCATTATGTTATTATTTAAGAAATAAGGTATAATTTTTTTAGTTTTATCGGGAAGTAAAACGGGTTGGTCACGTGATCAAATCCCACAAAGGCCGAAGGGCGTTATGGAAGACTTGCTCATGTGCCAACCCGTTTTAAATCTCAATAAAACTCAAAAAATTATACCTTATTACTTATATTTACATTTGTGACTTATTCATACTTTATATTTGCCTGATTGTTACTTTTAACGTGTGAAATGCCTTAATTTTTCAAACCCAACGGCATGTATGTAATCCACTAAACGCGCGTCGACCCTTTATGACGTCACAGAGAAATTACGTCGAACGTTTATCCAAACGCACAACTATGACCTCTTGACCCCATACCTGTATTTACACAGTTATAAAAACGCTTGCCTTTAGTAGTGTTATATAAAGGAAAACATTTGCAAATGTAAATATTGACGTTCAAAACATGATTCAGAACGTTTCGTCCAAATGGAAAATTTTACCACTTCAATGCGCTTCATTGTATTTTTAATTGTTAACATATTGAGTTATCTGTCTATCTATTCAGATATTGATAAATCTGATGAAGTTTTCCTAAAGATCAATTTGTATATAAACCTGGAAATATTTAGAAGTGAAGATTTTGGTCATCAAGTTAATCTAAATAATTATTTATTCTGAGAAAGGTATTTGTAAAGGACAAATCCTGATTTTATTATTTATTGTATATAGGTATCTCCATTAGTAAAGAAAGTATTTATTTGCATTGGAGAAAAGTTAAATTCCATAAATTGGTATGTCTATCTGTATATATATTTTTATGATTTGTAAAGAAATATCAAAGAAAGATAACTCTTCACAAGATTGTAAAGTGTAATTGTGTTATAAGAGTTAACTCCCTTATATATCATGTGTCAAGTATATTTCTTATGTGTTATCATAGTAAATGATGATAATTAATTGTAAAAGGGAAGACAGATAATTTGTTATATTTTATAATCGGAATGTTTAATTGAAATACTATTTTGTACATATTTTTATGACGCAATCTGTATATTGCAGGACTTCCTTATATATTCCATTATATCCATTATTCCAATATTCCATATCAGCTAAAGATGTCATCGTAATAAATATATAAAACTTCAACTGGTTTTTCCATCATACTGCCGGGAATACCCGCTACATCTAGATTCAACAAAGAAGTATATTACCCATGGGCAAAGAAGTCCATTTTTTAAGAAATAGTGTATTTTCACTATGTTGTCATGGGTTAGAACAAAGTCCTAACTGGAAACCCCTGACCCAGGAGGCATTTTTATGCCCCTCTTTGGCCGAAGATGCCCTTAACCAAAATTGGTTGAAATGGCTTCAGCAGTTTATGAGAAACTGAAAATGATCAAAAGTTTATGAAATGATGATGGACGAAAACAGACTGCAAAAGATCACCTGACTCTGATGAACTAAAAATGCACAGAAGAGTGGGGCATCATCAAACAGCAATCGAAGTGTTTATGCGGTCCAAAATGATTGGAAAACATTGCACAAACATTTTATATAGAAGCCAAGAGGAAAATTTCATGTTTATTACACATTTTAAAGAGAAAATAAAAATTTAACATATAAAAAGACTTAAAAAAAAAGAATTGCACATACCTTATTAAATTGAGGTTATTTAAAAATACATAAATACAAATGCAGTCACAACACACTAGAGACTTTAATTTTTTACAGATTGAAACAATGTTTTATTCAAGTGTGGATAACTTTAAAAATGGATAACTTTAAATGGAATGATAGTCAAGATGCAAAGATACTTCATTGCTTTTTACATTGTAATTGCCATATCCTTTGATCTAGTCATGTAATCTATAGTAGATTGTTGGTTAACATCTCAGTGTTGTGATTTTGCCATTATACAAACAAACAGTAATGACCAAGAATCATAATAGTCTGTTTGGATCTAAGCAATCTTTCGGTCAAAAATGCATTTAATGCAAAAACTTTACATTTCAGACCCATTTCGAATTTCATGTATGGCTAAAACAAAAGGAGCTGTGCCTAGAACAAAAATGGAATGCTTATGCCTCCATGAACTGCAAAGCAGTTTATAAAAAAAATTGTAAATTACTCCAACCCAGGTTAAACAAGTTTAACCTGGCTAGTTATTAAATTCATTCCTTATAATTTGAGTTAAATTATCTCTTTCAAAAATTCCTTCAAATTGAGCAAATTTTAAATGTAATGTCAAGTGGATTGGTGCATTTTTGACACAAGTCACTGTGATGTAGACAACATAGGTTATACGATATAGACAATTTTTTTTATCCAATCAAATGGTAAATTACTTGAAAATATACTGTTTGACAAACTCTTAAAAATTGATATGTTAATAATACAATATATTTTTTGTCAATTTACTCCGAATTTAATGGGTGTATCACTGTTTACATTGTCGAGTAAAACATTCAACATATAAATATTTCTGGATTAAAATTTGTAAAAGATTTCAGCAATATATTGCACTTTTTTCAATTCATATAATTCATTATTTCTCATTTTGAGATTCTCTACTTACTCGTAGGTTGGACAACATCAACTTGAATCGATCCAACTAATTCATTAAGCTGAATCCAATGTTTGAAAAAAAAAAATCAATCCTCTTTAAACACTCTTTACACATCCAAATAGTTACATTGCAATCAACAGACTTTGTATGTGAAAATGAAAATTGATTGACATACATGTACATGTGTGCAGTTTCTACTTAAATTCACATTACAACTTTTATGAAATACTTTTTAAGTTTCAAAGCAGGTCTTCATGAAATGTACGATGCTTAAAAAACATTTGAAAATTATCATTAAATACAAATAAGAAACAAGTTCTATACATACAAAAAATAATTTGAAAATTTTTAAAGAAATTTGAGGTTTAAGAATTTATCTCTTCAGCTAGTATATATCTTTCACTTCTATGCAAAAAAGTCATTTCTTTTTTTTGTAACTCTTGTTTTTTCCTGATTGTATACAGCTCCATCTATAATATTAAAGCACTTCAATGTAACCAGAATTTAAGGTTGTTAAAGTTAGTAGTGGCACTGACTAGAATGATGATCTGTTCAGCTCTGCTTTCTAGCATCATCTCGGTCCTGTTAAAAATCTCCAAGACTAGAAATTCTCTTTTAGCTGCCATCACAGGGTTCTGAAAAATAAAAGTAGCAATCACTCCTTAGTTTTTTTAATTCTGGCTTAATTTTATTTTAATTGCAGGTACATGTATTTCTTTCACAGAAAAATATGTAATTTGCCATTAATACAATAGTTTCGAAACACTACCAAGTAGGATGGCCTCCAGCCCAGCTTTTAATTAATATTATCACTTGTGTGCACATGCTTCTTAAATGTCTTCTTACCAAATATGAAACAAGGTTGCACAAGGGGAATTCAGTTTCAGATTTTTCTAATCATGCACTCTCTGTCACATTTACCGAGAATTACTTTGACATTAAATTCTTTAAGTCATGATCAGCTCTAAACAAATTTTGGTTAAACTTAATACTCTAACAATTTCTTTAAAATTAAGCTATAAATGCAAAATGCAGATTAAAAATGACTGTTAGATTACATTTTACATTTAACAAGTAATGTATCACTGTTTATCAAGATGAGAACATTACCTCATACTTATCAATCATGCAGCTTTTTCTTCCACCTTTGACCTTTTCTTGACAAACTCTTGAGCATCTCTATCCCACAATCGAGAGGCTAAAATATCAAGAGCTCCCTTCTCTGTAAAATAAGAGAGAGAGAATTGAGAGGACAATCTTTTAAAAAACACATTTATGTCAATCTGTCTACCTGTATATACATGAATATGTAAATAATAAACATTCTTAAGAGAAAAAAATTGGAACTATTTTCGTCTTATAATGTACTTGAGCCATGTATGTTAGTGTGGATTAGTTGTTGCCAAATTATATTGAAATCAGACCAAAACTGTGGGAGGAGTAGCATTTTGAAAGACAGTATTTCTCAGAAATTTCTAATTTTACTAAACCAAGGCAAAACTTCCTCAAAACCAAAACCGATAAAGTTATGTACCTCATTAAAGTCTACAAGTGTGTCAAGCTAAATTGAAATCAGGCCAAAACTGAAGGAGGTGTAGCTTTTTCAAAGTATTTCACAAAAATTTCCAACCAATAGAGCCCAGATGCTTTGTGTACCATCTTATACTCCATCTATTCTATTGATTTGTTCCTAATTTGTGTTTGCACAGTGCTTTTATTTATTCATTTGTTTGGAGGGAGGGGGGGTCATTTTCTTCTTTTCTTTCTGTGTGTGGTCTATTACCTTTGTGTTGAGGCTGCATTAAGGGTAAGGCAGTAATAGCGAGGGAATCGAACCCGGAGACATCTTGTCCATCCACCCCTGGAATGTTACACAGATCCACATACGCCTCTCCCGCGAAGTCGTTCTCAAACACATAATCATGGTCCATCACAGTAAACACCAGCACTGCTCCTCTCTTCCTACACTGCTCTATTGACACATTACTGTAATAACAAGGTCAAATCAAGGAGGTCAAGGCATCATGAAGTGTTTCATAGATATAAATGTACAACAAGAGGCCCAGGGGCCACAGCGCTCACCTGAGCACATCGGGCTAGAATTTACTCCCCCCCCCCCCCCTCCAGGCATTCATCATTTGAACAAACTAGAATCTACACTACCTGAGGATGATTCCATATAAATATCACTAATCATAGCTTTGAAGTACTTGAAAAGAAGATTTTAAAAGGTTTCCCTATACATCCCTATGTAAAACATGGGTCGGCCATTTTGGCCCCACCCTAGCCCCGGGGGTCATGGTTTGAACAAACTTGAATTTGCACTACCTGAGGATGATTCCACATGAGTTTCATCTTTCCTGGCCCAGTGGTTCTGGAGAAGAAGATTTTAAAAGGTTTCCCTATATATCCCTATGTGAAAAATGGGTCGGCCATTTTGGCCCCGCCCTAGCCCTGGGGGTCATGATTTTAACAAACTTGAATCTGCACTACCTGAGCATAATTCCACATGAGTTTCATCTTTCCTGGCCCAGTGGTTCTTGAGAAGAAGATTTTTAAAGATTTTTCCTATATATTCCTATGTAAAACTTGGGTCAGCCATTTTGGCCCCACCCTTGCCCAGGGGGTCATGATTTGAACAAAATTGAATCTGCACTACCTGAGGATGATTCCACATGAGTTTCATCTTTCCTGGCCCAGTGGTTCTGGAGAAGAAGATTTTATAAAGATTTTTCCTATGTATTCCTATGTAAAACTTGGGTCGGCCATTTTGGCCCCACCCTTGCCCCGGGGGTCATGATTTGAACAAACTTGAATCTGCACTACCTGAGCATAATTCCACATGAGTTTCATCTTTCCTGGCCCAGTGGTTCTGGAGAAGAAGATTTTTAAAGTTTTTTCCTATATATTCCTATGTAAAACTTGGGTCGGCGATTTTGGCCCCACCTTTGCCCCGGGGGTCATGATTTGAACAAACTTGAATCTGCACTACCTGAGCATAATTCCACATGAGTTTCATCTTTCCTGGCCCAGCGGTTCTGGAGAAGAAGATTTTTTTAAAATGCCATTAATTTTTAACAAATTCATGATTATCTCCCCTTGGAAAAGGGCGTGGCCCTTCATTTGAACAAACTTGAATCCCCTTCACCCAAGGATACTTTGTGCCAAGTTTGGTTGAAATTGGCCCAGGGGTTCTTGAGAAGAAGATGAAAATGTGAAAAGTTTACGACGACGACAACAACGACCACAACGACGACAGACAACGGACAAATTTTGATCAGAAAAGCTCACTTGAGCCTTCGGCTCAGGTGAGCTAATAATATACTGTGATTTCATCAATATTCATTGAGCACCAATTTTCGTGGATTTCGTTGTTGAGGAGATCCACAAATTAAAATGTTCATCATAGATGCCAACTCACCCGATTTCGTCGGGTCACACCCGATTTTTCAACCCGTAACCCGATTATTTTTTATGACCCGGCGGGTCATGCTTTTCACTTGATTTTTGCCGAACAACCCGCAAATCTCCCGATTTCCGGATTTGGTTCATAAATTAGGTTGCACTTTTAACTTCCAGTAACAACCCAAGCTTAGATCTACGTAAACAATGCCGATGGACTAATTATCAGTGCATGTGTAAACAATTAACTGGGTGTTGTTTTGACAAATCAATGTTTGACATGTTTGAGGTCAATTAAAATGGCTTCCGATAGAACTAGATCGTTTTCAGGGCCAGCAGGAACAAATTGAACCAAACAAATGTCTCTGATTGAACCAAGAAAAAGAGAAACAATATTTATGTACATATCAAGGAATCTTGGGGAAAAAAAATCATTCTAGATAAAATAAAGTGATAGAAGACAGTTTTGGCCTAACTTCACATTTAATACATATTGCAGTAGTTAATTAAGAGAGAGGAAAAATAACTTCAAAACTGAAATTAGTATATATTTTCAAATTTATCAGAAACTGAGAAGACTTTTTTTTTTTGAAATTACACTTAGTCTTACTTCAGGTCAATAGTATACTGAAATATGAAACCTTCAATTCTCTTTTTTAACATGTACCTTTATTAATCAAATTATGTATGAGTTTTTTGTCATTGTAAATTAAAGCCTTTTTCAATAAAAGAATTTTCAATACACAAATACTTTGTATATATAACACAATCCAAAACAAAAAGGGAAAATCAAAATTCCTTTTTTTTCACCCAAAGTTTACAATCTGAAGTCATTTTGGTCTTAAAATCCTTATATGTGTCTCCACAAGTTCCCTTGTTGAAGATTTTTTTTAAGTATTTGAGGAACGTTCCTCTTTCTAAACTTCAGATGCATTTGTTATGACCAGAGATTTGAGGAACGTTCCTCTCTCTGAACTTCAGATGCATTTGTTATGACCAGACTTTTGAGGAACGTTCCTCTTTCTACACTTCAGATGCATTTGTTATGACCAGAAATTTGAGGAACGTTCCTCTCTCTGAACTTCAGATGCATTTGTTATGACCAGAGATTTGAGGAACGTTCCTCTCTCTGAACTTCAGATGCATTTGTTATGACCAGAGATTTGAGGAACGTTCCTCTCTCTGAACTTCTGGTGCATTTGTTATGACCAGATTTTTGAGGAACGTTCCTCTCTCTGAACTTCAGATGCATTTGTTATGACCAGACTTTTGAGGAACGTTCCTCTTTCTACACTTCAGATGCATTTGTTATGACCAGAGATTTGAGGAACGTTTCTCTCTCTGAACTTCAGATGCATTTGTTATGACCAGACTTTTGAGGAACGTTCCTCTTTCTACTTTTCCAGATGCATTTGTTATGACCAGAGATTTGAGGAACGTTCCTCTCTCTGAACTTCTGGTGCATTTGTTATGACCAAACTTTTGAGGAACGTTCCTCTCTCGAACTTCAGATGCATTTGTTCTGACCAGAGATTTGAGGAACGTTCCTCTCTCTGTACTTCTGATGCATTTGTTATGAACAGACATTTGAGGAACATTCCTCTCTCTAAACTAAGATGCATTTATTATCACCAGACATTTGAGTAACGTTCCTCTCTTACAGATGTGCACATACAGTGTGTATTTTTAAATACCTTATGAATGAACACATCAGGCATTTGAGGAACATTCATCTCTCAAATTTACTTATTACCGTAGGCATCTCATAAATTTTCAAATATTAGGCATTATAGGAATGGTCCTCTTCCAATTTCAAATATTGATACTATATACACCATGTACACTGGAGGAACGTTCCTCTTCAAACTATTGACACTGGATTTACTAGTCTAAACACAACATATTTGAGGAACGTTCCTCATCCAATTTCAAATATTGATACTATATACACTGGAGGAACGTTCCTCTTTCTATCTTGACACTGTGTTTACAAGTTTTAACACACAATATCACAAACGTTCATCAGTCAATTTCAATTGATAATACATACTACATGTATATAAACAGTACATTTGAGGAACATTCCTCTACCAATTCCTATCAAAACACTACTACCATGAATCTTAATACAATGAATGTTCTTCTCCCCATTTCAAAATTTGACACTGGACTGGACAAACATTCCTCTTCCAACTGTTGACAATGGATTCATGTCGAATACTCCTCTTCTGATTTCAAATATTATTATATAACTTTACATATGAATCAGAGTATAACTGGATTTGAAGAAAGCTGTACACCTAAGGTACTCCCTAACGTAAAAAAGTAGATAATCCTGTTGATTTCATAAAGTCAAATTTCAAGGTTGAGACTATTCTGACACAGAAAAATAATGTCTGCTTAAAATTTTGGGAACCCTTTGCTTTACAGACATCAAACTTAGTATACTGGTACTCCCAAAGGAATAAAGACCCCTACTGATTTTGGGTTACAAGGTGAAAGCACAAGGCTCAAACTGATCTAGAAATAGAAAAGCATTGTTTACTCAATATTGAAGTAACTTGAGATTCTACTGTTTGAAAAATAATTTAATGCACTAGATCTGTAGTCCTCCTAAGAAATATATGACAACTTTTAATTTGGGGGTCATAACTCGATTACAAGATCAAGTACGTGTCATTCTTGACAATTAATATTTTAGGAAATCATTTTTCACTCAATTTTGTGAAAAGCCTCTTATTTTTACAGACTTTTAACTCGTTGGTACCAATCCTTTAGGAGTATACATGATCACATTTTATTTTGAGGTCAGTTCTCTGGATATCATATAGGAATGTATATCTCATGCTGAATAAAGAGTAAATGTTTATTTTTATTTTAAATGAGAAAAAAGGGCAACTGTTTGAATCGTGCAAAAGACATAAATCTACAACAAGGAATTGATCAAAAAAGTTATACCATTCCCCTGATCCCCTGCATTTACTTTTATGATATAAAACTGTTGTATACAGCAATGCTTTCTTACACTAAATTAAACAATTTTCTTTAACAATTGAAATTTTATGATATTTATTAAATGAAAAAATCTTTCAGGAAAAGAATCTTACCCTTAGCTTTCTTAGTATAGTTCATCCAAGATTAATTTATGAAAAGTCAGTGCATTGACCAGTAAATTCTCTATAAGTTGAACATCCATTGACATTTGAAAATCATGCATGTGTCTCTACTTACTTCATCACGCAGTTTTTTGACCAAAACTAATTATATAACTTTATCACAGTATAACACACAGATATATCGATGTCTAATTTCTCCAATTTCGAATTCCCCTTCAAACAACAGTTGTATTTAAATGATAGCTGTTCACATGTGCAACTGCGACCCTTCCATACATATTTGAATGGAAACATGTGGTGCCACTAACTGAAGAAATGTCAATCAAAACACTGCACACTGATAATCTTGGGTGTGTTATCAGTCTTGGACACATCCATCTCTCAACCCTACCAAAATATCACATTTCAAATCAGATTGTTGAATTAAACAGGATGTTGAAGTTCTTCACATGTTGCAGTTCTTCAGGA